TTTACCCACAGTAGAACTTTCAAAATTGGAGTCAATCCTCTTAACCCTGCTGCCACTTTATCAACCCAGTTTATATACATTCAAAATCTTTTGTTGTCGTTTCAACAATGTTCACAGCATCTTTGCCAGGAGTAGTTTCCACCTCAAGAAACCACTTCTTTGCTCATCCATAGGAAGCAACTCCTCACCCGTACAAGTTTTATCATGAGATTGCAGCAATCCAGTCACATCTTCGGGCTCCACTTCTAATTCCAGCTCTCTTGCTGTTTCCACCACATCTTCAATGACTTCTTCCACTGAAGTCTTGTACCTCTCAAAGTTGTCTTTGACGGTTGGAAAAAACGTGTTCCAAACTCCTGTTAACGTTGATGTTTTGACCTCCTCTGATGAATCACACATGTTCTTACTGGCATCTAGAATAGTGAATCATTTCCACAAAGTTTTAAATTTACTTTGCTCAGATTTATCAGAGGAATCACTACCTATGGCAACTATAGCCTTAGAAAATGTATTTCTTAAACAATAAGACTTGAAAGTCGAAATTACTCCTTGATCTATGGGTTGCAGAGTGAATGTTTTGTTAGCAGGCATGAAAATAACATTAATCTCCTTGTGAAATTTCATTGAGCTCTTGGGTGACCAGGCGCATTGTCAATGAGCAGTAGTAATAGTTTGAAATAAGTCTTTTATTTCTGAGCAGTAAATCTCAATAGTGGGCTTAAACTATTCAGTAAATCATGCTATAAGCATATGTGCTTTAAAGTTCCATTTATACAGTATAGGAAGAGTAATTTAGTGCGGTTTTTAAGGGTGCCAGAATTTCTGGAATGGTGAATGAACATAGGCTTCAGCTTAAAGTCAAAGGTTGCAGTAGACCCTGATGAGATGGTCAGTCTGTCCTTTGAAAGTCTGAAGCCAGGCATTGACTTCTCCTCTCTGACTAAAAAGTCCTAGATAATATCTTCTCCCAATAGAAGGCTACTTGGGCTGCACTGAAAATCTATTGTTTTGTGTATCCACCCTCATCACCTAGATCTTCCAGATAATTTTGCAGTAACTCCTACATCAGCACTTCCTGCTTCACCTAGCACTTTAATATTTTGAAGATGGCTCTTCTCTTTAAATCAATTTGAACCAATTTGCTAGTTTCAGACTGTGTGTGTGTGTGTGTGTGTGTGTGTGTGTAACATTCTCATCTCTCTCAGTCTTCGTAAAGTTGAAAAAAGGACCTTTCTCTGGATCAGGTTTTGACTTAAGAAATGAATGTTGTGACTGGTTTGATCTTCTATCCAGACCACAGACACTTTCTCCATATCAGTAATAAGACTGTTTTGCTTTTTCATAATTCAATTATGGAGTAGCACTTTCAATTTTCCTGAAGAACGTTTCCTTTGCGTCCACACCTTGGCTGACTATTTGGTGCAAGAGGCCTGGTTCTCAGTCTGCTTTCGCTTTTGACACATCTTCCTTGATAAGCTGAATAACTCCCTGCTTTTGAGTTAAAGTGAGAGACATGTGACTTTTTCTTTAATGTGAGCATGTGGAGGCCCTTGTAGGATTATTAATTGGCTGGATTTCAACATTGTTGTCTCTCAGGGAATAGAGAGGTCCCAGGAGGGGGAGAAAGGTGGGGAACAGCTGGCTAGTCAGTGGAGCAGTCCGGTCACACCTGACATTTATCGATTAAGTCAGCAGTCTTTTATGGGCCCAGTCAAAACAATGATGATCACAGATGGCCATAACAAATATGATAATATGAAAAGTGAGAACTCCCAAAATGTGACACAGAGATATCAGTGAGCTCATGCTATTGGAAAAAATGGTGCTGATAGACTTGCTGGGTACAGGGTTGCCACAAACCTTCAATTTGTAAAAAGCACAATAAAGCGAGCACAATAAACGGAGATATTCCTGTGCTATTGTTATTATGATTTTTGTTTTCAGTTAAGGAAAATGAGGTTTTGCCTACCAGCAATTTCTGCCAGGTTGTACAGCATCAACATATTCACGTCAAGGTCCAACTCTGCCCTGTAGCTTTTATTTTTTTGAGTTGGAGTCTCACTCTGTTGCCCAGACTGGAGTGCAGTGGCCGCTCCCGGCCACCGCAGCCTCGACCTGCTGGGCTCCGGCGATCCTTTCGCCTCAGCCTTCCGAGTAGACAGAATTATAGGCGCACGCTACCACGCCCAGCTGATTTTTTGATTTATTGTAGAGATGAGGTCTCACCAAGTTGCCCAGGCGGGTCTAGAATCCGCAGGCTCAGGCAATCCACTCAGCTCAGCCTCCCAAAGGCGCGGGATTACAGGCTGAGCCACCGAGCCCGGCTGCCCTGTAGCTTTGATCTCGGAATGTTGGTCACTGTAGCTCGTAATGTTGGTCACTGGGATGTGCTGATTCTTCCCACTAATGCCAGTTAAAATTGGAAATGATACAAATATTCAACAGTAGATGTACACATTGTGGCATAGCACATTCACACTGTGAAATACCTTGCAATCATGAATAATCACACAGCAGAAAAGCATTTATCAAGATGAGCAAGGTATTCACAATTACTTAATGCGAAAAAAAGCAAGCTAGCAAAAAAAGATCTGTGACCAATCCTGTTTTGGTTAAATTTTGGTTGATTTGAAATTCTTCAGTTTGAGGTGAAAACAAAGTCTCACTCTCTGTGCAAAATTTGAAATAAGCAGTCGACTTCAAATTTAAAATCGATTTCTAAGCCTGCAGACCGCCAGGAATTGTAAGCCAGAATCCTTCCCTCATGGCCATCTATCTTTCTGGCGAGTGGGACTCTCCTTGGACCTTGGTTTAAGAAGCACAAAGGTGCAGCAGTACTTCCATCACTGTGGTTCTCCTCCAGCTGTTAGCCTGGCATTCACTGTTGCCACGATCTAGTCTTACCTTCTGCCCCAACCGCTGTCCCTCAAGCACTCAAGCACTAAACAACAACTTTGAAATGGGGGTTGGATCTAACAACAGGCCTTGAAATAACATGAAACTTGCCTTACCTGTTCATTCAGCAGAGAACACTCTGAAGTAAAAACGTTAGAGAGCAAGCCATGGGTAGGAAAAGCACATTCAAACAGGTTCCCCTTTGTCAGGGCTCAAAATTCCTTGAGCAAACTTAACAGGCTCCTGAAACTCACAGGCTTTTTCCCGTGGTATCTAATCAAGTTCCTTTCCTCCCCACCCCTGATATTTACCCATGTTCCTCTTATCATTTTCCACCTTCTGACTCACTCACCTTTCTCCTGGCTATATATTCCCATCTGTCCCTGTCGTGTTCAGAAGTGAGGTCGGTCTCTCTTTCTCTGCTATTACCATACTCTATCCCTATTACAATAGCCTTGAATGGAATCTATCTTATCATTTTTAGCAAGTGTCTGTCGAATTTGTAACACCTTTAACCTTGCAAAAAAGTTGTCAAAAAGCCCAGCATGGACACTGGGGAAATGAAGAAGTGCTGATAATCTGATATTCAGGTCATCATCATGGCTAATTACAATGGATTTAGAGTCAGCCTGAGCAACTACTCCCATGGGAAAACTCATCTTGAATTATAAATCTTTGAACTATGGGAGGGACTTCAAAATGTATCCCTTGCTCAGCATGCAATTATCTTTTAGAAATAGGAAATATTCTGAAAGGACGTGTTCCAGAATGTAGTAGGATTCTAGACTTACCTTTTTCTTTGTGTTGTTCAACTGCCCTGTTTTAAAAATATGGTCGAGTCTTATTATTCACAGATTCCATCTATGCAAATTCTCCTACTTGCTAAAATGTATTTGTAACCCCTAAAATCAATACATGTGGTACTTTTGTGGTCATTCAGGGATGTGCACATGTATAACATAGTGAAGAACTTGGGAGTTGTCCAGTTTGCATGTTCCCAGCTGAGGTCTAGCAAAGTGACACTCTGCCTTCTTGTTTCAGCTCTCATGATGTAAACAAGTATCATTTCTTTGGTCTATTTAGAGCCACAGTCTTCACATTTTTATAGTTTGTGTGTGTGTGTGTGTGTGTGTGTGTGTGTGCTTGTGTATGTGATTTTTTGCTGTTTAGAAATGTCCCCACGCATGTTGTAGAAGTGCTGTCTTGTGTTACTAAGTACAAGAAGGCTGTGGTGTGCCGTATGTGTTAGAGAAGCTTAATTCAAGAAAGAGTTATAGTTGACCTTACGTTCAGTGCTAATAAATCAATGCATATTTAATAAGTTATCTTTAAAGAGAAACACATAAATAAGTATATGTATTGGCTGGTTGCCGGAAACGTTGAGATTATTCTTCAGGAAGCTAAGCCTGTATTTCCCCTAGGAGGAATGGTCCAGAACTAACTCAGAGTTCATGGTAATTTTTATAGACCATAACTACCACCAATAACAAGAATTGCCTCTGTATTCCTTCTGGATCGAGGGGAAAAGTCATTATTTTTGAAATGCAGGTTGCATGTAGAGGTGTAGTTCCATCTGGTGATGGAATTGAGAGGAAGGAAGAGGGCCCTAATTTTGACAGGGACTGGTTGCCCCAGGCTCTGAACTGAGTGTCTGTGTGCACCGTGTGATGATGCCATCACACCTTCCTGAGAGGTCAGCATGTTCATCTTTGTTTCCCAGGTAAGGAGGGAACCTCCAGAGGCTGACAGCTAGTAAGAGGCAGAGGCAGGACTTGGCCCACTGTTTGTCCTTAAAGTCGGAATTGACCATGAAAACAAGTATGTTCTCCTAGTTCATTTTACTGATGCGGAAAATGAAATAAAGAAACATTTTTCAGTTGAGTAGCTGGAGAAGCGTAGAATAAGCATTTTCCAGTCCCCATCCAATGTCATTTCTACCTCATCCAGACATGGAAGGAAAGTGGTCTTGACTAGGGATCTGGGTGGGCTCAGGGCATGTGGGTCACTGCCCAGGTGGTCCTAGCCATCTGCTTGCTTGGAATACCCACCCTCCAAGTTAGAGGTTACAATGTTTGTCAATTGAATAGTTGTCTCTCTCCTTGTACTTTCACCTCTGACGGAGACAGAGTCCTGTCACCATGAATGCAAGTGAATTCCGAAGGAGAGGGAAAGAGATGGTGGATTATGTGGCCAACTACATGGAAGGCATCGAGGGACGCCAGGTCTACCCTGATGTGAAGCCTGGTTACCTGCGGCCCCTGATCCCTGCTGCCGCGCCCCAGGAACCAGATACCTTTGAGGACATCATCAGCGACATCGAGAAGATAATCATGCCAGGCGTAAGTGTGTACCAAGGTCTAAGAACGGAGGGCTAATTCTAATGTAGCACCTACAGGGAACTGGGCAATTCTCATGTTTTATTTCAATGAATCCTCACCACCATCAGTTTGGAGAAAAAAAAAATGTTCATCATTTCTGTTTCACAGCTATGGAAACTGAGGCTCAGAGAGGTTAGGTGGGCCACCTTAGGTCACACAGCCAATAATGATGGAGCTAGGATTCCAACCCAGATCCTGTGGGTGCCAAGGGCAGTGAGTGCTCTTCCCCCAGGTCTCCTGAGACTCAATCTCTCCCTAGAGACGCCTGGTACATAGAGTGGTCATCAGAAGCTGATCAGAGGAAGCAAGCCTCCAGGGGTCCCTTTCCAATAAGTCAGTGGCTCCGAGTAAAGCACCCTTCTGCCGTGCTCACGTTTAGTGAGGGGCACATCTCACACATAAAATTAATGTTTTATTTACTTCGTTTGAGAGTGAACAGAGGATACTGGCTCCTCCAGAGACAGGCCCCCAAGGCGGGCCTCTCTTTCTGAAGCCAGTGATTCTCAGCACAGCATGTGGTGCACTGAGACCCAACCAAAAATAATTAGGACCGGTTGCTGTCCCCAACTCTCACTCAGAGGGGAGAGAGCACTGGCACTCAGAAAAACTTCACTTCAGCTTGATGCTTCCACAATAAGATTGCCAGGAATTAACCTAAAATCCTGTCCCTGAATGTGGCTCTGTGAATAGGCTGACCTAACTGTTCCTGTTTCTAGACCAGGGACATTTATAAGAGTGATCAGACCTGCCCTTTGATGCAACTAAGTTGATTTTGGCTGACAGTGTGCACAGTCCCGGCCTGGTGTCAGCTGCATTTGCCAATGGCCCCGTCACCCAGCATGTCTGTGGTCATAAGGTCTGAAAGAAACATACACGTGATATTCAGAGGAAGAGAAATCAACCAGCAAGATCTATCCCTTTATTTGCAGATGAAATGAGGCCCTGAGAAGGCAAGAGGTCAACCAAGATCACAGGCCACTGACCGTGGGGGGGGTCCAGGCCACAGGTTGTAACCTCAGTGACCAGTTCCTCAAGAGCAGAGCAGCTTTCTCACTGCAAGGCTCGTATTTCATCTTCCCCGGAGATTTTCACTTGGCATTTGCTCTTTGAGTGAAGAACAGGATTCTGGTTCTTGCCTAAAGGTTGTGCAAATACACTAAGCTGTGCAGCAGAAAACCCTTCCAGGGGAGGTGTGGTTAAATGTCAGGTGGAAGGGGAATACAGGAGACGGGAATTTGCTCTATGACATGAGGATGTTCACCGTGCAGAGATGAGCTGGGAAATGCACAGGCTCTGGGACAGGGTCCCTGGGTGAATCCCTGGTTGCTGACTGTTTTTACAAGAACACTGGGTAAGCATTCTGGTCATGTGCAGAGTGAGTGTGGGTTGATCCTTTGCAAACACTGCTGTGAATATTGGCGAAGGCCGGAGCAAAAGAGTCCATTCTCCGATCAAGGGTCACTTTTGTCCCCTGCTAGGTTTCCAGACACAGTAGGGAAGGGACAGAGGTGGGGGCCTGTGGGGCTTCCAGGAGCCTGAGGGAGCCTCAGGCCCAGGGTCACACTTACTGTGTTCAGCCTTTGTGGGCTCCTTCCTTCCTAGGAATTATGGAAGATTATACTTTACAAATGCATGGGCATAAGTATGAATGCATTAGCATTATAGATTTTTTTTAATACCAGAAAGCTCACTTTTTTCTCCTGATTTTAAAATAAATGCAAGCATGTTTCAGAGTCCCACAAATATTGTGGGCCCAGGCCTGCTGTGCTGAATGCTTCGTGAGGTCTGTGTGACTCCTCATGGCTTCAGCCTCATCCCCAACCTCCAGCCCCTGAACCCCCAAATCCCAACTGTGCTCTGGTTCTCCCTCCCTCCCTCCCTCCACACTCCCCCAGTCCTGACAGACCTGGAGGTGGCCATGGTTGTCAGGTACATCCTGCTGAATGCTCCTAGTCCTCAGTGAGCCCTCCTAGCCAGCTACCCTCAAAGTCACGGCCCCACAGGCCCCCACCTCTGTCCCTTCCCTATTGTGTCTGGAAACCTATCAAGGGACAAAAGCAACCCTTGATCATGCTATATCTCAGAAAATATATGCTCAATAACCAGAATTATCAAGAAGGAAATCTTTGCAACTTTGCCCAGGCTGTATAAAATGACAGTGTCTTAACTCAGCCTGCTGTAACAAAATATGCAGACTGGATAGTTTAAATAACAAACAGATCTTGCTCAAGGCATTGGGTTCAGGTGCAGATCCTGGTGTACAGACAGCCAGCCTCACATAATGGCGGGGAGGCCAGCTCTTTCTTCCCTCTAAAGAAGCCATCAGGAGGGCTCCATCCTCATGACACAATCACCTCCTCCCAAAAAGTCACCCTCATGACCTAATCACCTCCCAAACACCCCACCTCCTAATACCATCACTTTGGGAAGTAGGGTTCTAACATATGAGTTTTGGGGGGACACCAACATTCAGTCTATGGCAAACTGCATTGGCGATGAATCCTCAGCCATTGGGGATCCCAAGCCAGGCCTGGGACTCTGGATGTCCAGGAAAAACACCAGAGCACATGGATTTGATTTACCTGAGGGGGTGATGGAGCCCCATGCCTCAGTTGTCTGAGGTGACCCAGAAAATCCAAGTTGCTGCAAGACTTGCAGTCCAGGGCCCTTCCAACATGTGCAATGAAAATGGAGTCAAGTGAAGGGGGTGACAGGAAGCTGGGTTAAGTCTCTTCGTCACCAGTATGTGGTTGTGGCCCCGAGTGGGGTCTGAATGACAATCTCTAGTACCTTCTCCCTGCACTGGGGCCCAGGGGTTGTTGTAAGGGCTTTATTCTGTCTCCCACAGCAAGAATGCCATTGGCAAGGATAAATCAAAGAAGCAGAGATTGAGCTACCCTCTCTCCTCCCTTTCCTCCCTTGTCTTCTTTCCAAACCTGGAGGCATTAGCAGCTGCTCTCTCGTTGCTACTGCAGGACCCTCCCAGCCCAGCGAGGCTTGCTGAGCACAGATGGCCCTGCCCAGATGCGCACCGCCCCCTTGCCTCCTGATAGCTTGCTGCGGTCTTGCTGGTGCCCTGGCCCCTGCCACCCCTAGCCCCAAGTGTGCTGAATGGAGTTGTCACCATCCCTTATGTGTCTCCTCCCCGGTTCACCACGAGCTTTTCCTCTGTGCTTTGCCCAGAGTGTGGCACACGGCAGGTGTTTACTCCAGGTGGGCTGGAAAAGGGTGGGCGGCCCCCATCCAGGCAGCAGGGCAGGGGACAGCAATAAGGCTGAGGGACAGAGGAGGTGAGAGGTCTGCAGAACCCTGGAGAGCCTGGCTGGAGGGAATGGCTCACCCGGGAGAGCAAGGGACGGCGGGAAGACCAGAAGCATGTTTGGGCTTAACTGAAAATGCCATGAAAATGCCTCACAAATCAGATTCTTGGTTGGCTTGCTTTCTTTCTCTTTTTCTCTCCTCCTCCTCCTCCTCTTCCTTCCTCTTCGTCTTCTTTCTTTCTCTCTTCCTTTCCCTCTTTCTATTTAGACTTTATTCTTCATCGCATTTTTAGGAAAACTGTGCTTTGAGCACAGAGGTTGGCCTCAGGGGCAGTACCTTCACTGATGACAGCACCTGTCAAGAACATAAAACATGGTGTGGTTTTTAGAGACTGCCTTTGCTACAGCACACAATGATGATGTTTCTCTCTATTTTAGAAATATAACTATTCCCCGAACCGCAAATATGTCCCACTATCAAAGAAGGGAGTCCGTTTAAAGTGGAGACGGTGCAGTGACATGTAAATACTACATTTAACAGGAGGGAGGTCCCAGGTGACCGACACTTGGGGAACTGCAATAAACCAAGGCCACTCTGGGTGCCTCTGAGTCCTGAGTCCTCAGCTCTCATGGGCCTGTGCACCGTCGCACCTGAGTAACTGTCCCGTCCTCCTGCACAGGTGACCCACTGGCACAGTCCCTATTTCTTTGCCTACTTCCCCACGGCCAGCTCGTACCCAGCCATGCTCGCAGACATGCTGTGCGGAGCCATCGGCTGCATCGGCTTCTCCTGGGTGAGTGTTTGGTGATCCTGGGGCGGCGGGGGTTCCTGCAGTGGTGGGATTCCTGCATGGGAATGTGGTACCTGTACTCACAGGGCCCCGCACAGATGGCTGTTCCACCTGTGGGCAGCAGGGGCACGGCTGCAGGGAGGAGAGGAGGGCACAGTCCAGAAAAGGGGCCTCAGAGGGAATGGAGATGCAGAACAGAGAAAGGCCTCACAGCTCAGAGCCAGTTCTGCACAGTGGTGTGTTAGAAGCACCTGGGGTGAATTGCGATCACAGTGCAACGCCCCAGAATTTCCACAACTTGAGTCTGGGAATCTGCATTTCCCCAAGCAGACCAGAGGATTTCTATACACTTCAAAGCTTGAGAACACAACTGCCCTGTCTCATTCCATCTGTTCTCAGCCAGGGCTGCTGTCCCAGAGAGGCCCTACCTAGCCCATCAGATATGCTGAGCACCACAGAGCAGGGGTCTTCAGAAATGGGTCTGGCTCCTGCCTCCACAACACCAGTCTCGCCCTATCAGGGGTGCAGTGCCTAGAAAGATCCCTGCTTAGAAAAATGGCAGGCAGGGCTGGCTTTACCTGTGTTCTCTGCTCCAGGCACAGCCCTGCTGGCAAGACCCCTTCCTCTCAAATGCAGAGAGCTCGGAAGTAGAGCCACCCACTGACAGTCAGGGGTCCCAGGGCTTCCCACACTGCGGGGAATTCTTCAGAAGCCAGGGTCAGCCCTTGGTCTTCCAGATCCAGATTGTTGTCTTTGTCAGTGCTGTGGAGCCAGGTGGGCTTACTGGTGTTGGCCCATGCCACGTGAGATGCATCAAGGAGATGGTGGTTTTGAATCACAGCCTCAAGCTGCAGCTGCCCTGCTTCACCTGCCTGCTCTTGCTCTCCTTTAGGCTGGGGTGTCAGGGGTTGCTGAGTGACAGGGCATCGCAGGCCCCATAGGCAGGGCTGAAGAGGCCATCCCTGGCCCCTGGCACAGCATCTGTGCTGCTTCTCTGCCAGGCGCCAGGGGCCTCCCTCTCCACTGGGCAAAGCTGGCGTGAGCATGGGCAGTGCAGCCTGGGCTGGTCTTTCTCCTAAAGGGCATTTTCTCATTGGATATCGTATTGGATTTCATTTAGCACTGATGGTGTGGATCCATTCTGTTCCTGCAGGGTGACTTGCCATCAGTCTCCATTGTATCTTGTCATTCTAGGCCAGCCTGATCCATCTTGGATCAGAAAGATCCCTGCTTAGAAAAATGGCACCCCTTGGAGGGGGTGCCTTGCTTTCTCTCAGGCTGATACCTGCGGCTCCCAACAGGAAGTGCAGGTTTCTGATTGAGCTGGGCTTAGCCGGGATGGGAAGGCCCAGATGGAAGGGGCTAATCAGGAGGAAGGAAGAGCTCCTTCGCGTACTCTTCCAGGCATCACAGTACTGGTGATCACATCTCAGCACCAGAGCATCTCTGAGTTCCACACTGGGCCCTTTGTATGGAGACCTGTATGAAGGCGGGGGCTCAATCTTCTTTGATGGGGCCCAAGGCCAGCCTGCCACCTCCTGTGTGCAAAAAGAGGGGAGGGCCCATGAGCAAAGTCATAATGCCAGAGTTTAAAAGACAAGATCAATGGCGGCACCCAGGACGCCCAAAGGATGAAGGCCACTAGAGCTGGCTTCTTCAAATCGGCCCAGTGCTCATTCCCTTCACTTGTGACTATGGAGGACAGTCCACCAGTGGGATTTCTAGATCTTTCTGTTACTAAACAAATGATTACACAAGCAAGTCTGCAGTGCCCGCACAGCAAGTCACAGTGGAGTAAGGCTTATCATGGTGGTCTGTGTGTTCCTCCCAACCCTTCTTCTTGAGTGAGTCTGGGCCAAACACATGAGTGAAACTGTTTCAGCATTTGAATCACAGCTGAGACTGGGCGATTGTAATCTGGATTTAGTGGGAAGTTAAACTCTATGTGATTGGATTGGTCTCACCCAGATAATCGACAAACTCCTCCCACTACCCCTTCCCAAGTTCTTAAGCACATCAGCAAAGACACTTTTTCCCTGTAAAGGAAGCGATCACAGGTTCTAGGGATCAAGTCCTGGAATCTTTGGGGGTGTGGTGCATTTATTCTGCCTATCACACCTAGTGTGCATCCAAGTCACGGAGATAACATGTGACAATGCCAATCCCTAGACTTTAGAGATGCAAATTCCACAGGTCCTGGGTGGACCCAGGAATAAGATTTTACAATGCCTGGCCCTTGGCTAATCCCTTCCCTGCCTGTGACAGGCCGCAAGCCCGGCGTGCACAGAGCTGGAGACCGTGATGATGGACTGGCTTGGGAAGATGCTGGAGCTGCCTGAGTCGTTTCTGGCTGGGAACACCGGAGACGGGGGAGGAGTGATCCAGGTAAGGTGGGAGGGGCAGGAAGGCAGCCTCCAGGAGGCACGGACTCCACACAGGACCCACTGCATGTGGGGAAGGAGGTGCCTGGTTTTCTTGCTGGTCCTTGGATTTCGCCTGGAGAATAAGCAAAGCTGAGTTCTCAGGACACCCCAGGTCTTGGGGTCTGTAGGATCTGGATTAGGATCCCAGTGCTGTCCCTCACTTGTGGAGGCAGGGCACTCACTTCTCCAGGTCTCTCGTTACGGTCGATAGAGTAGTGGCTGTCACATGGCAGGTATGTAGAAATAACAACAGCAGCTAGCTCGTGTGTTGGGTTCCCATTGCCAGCCATTGTGCCTAAGCATTTTCCAGACAGTATCTCACTTAATTCTCACAACGACACTATGCATTTTCATACCCCCTTTTACAGGTGAGGAAACTGAGCTCCAGGACATTAGGTAACTTTGTCCATTGACTCTCAGCTGGAATGCTGTAGACCCTGTTTCTGTGTGGCTCAGAATCTGCACGAGGAAAGCACACAGCTATTCAGTGCCTCAGAGGCTATAAATGCTACTTGTCTCTAAGCCAAGCGTTCACCTGAAGACGCTGCTGCTTCAAGGCCCCAACTGAACTCATTCTCCTTGTTCAACATGTGTCTGTGGAGAGCGACCAACTGCCAGAGCTTATACCAGGGAATGAGGCAGACACAGATGACAGCTGAGATTCCACTGGTATGGCAGGACAGATGCCACTGGGACAACAAATGGACTTGGTGCATTTTTTCCCTCTAATTTCCTAGCATGGAAGATGAACTAAATTGAACGTACTACTCTCTCTTCCATCATTTTTTTTCACATCAAGAACATAATAGTAACATTGAGAAAGCATTTTAACTTTGGAAGAAAGGGAGTTCCTTCTCAGATATTGTCTTCTGTAAGGTTCTGAGAATTGTTTAAGGCCCATTCAGCCGGTGAGAATACTGAGGCACAGATTGGAGAAGGCCTTTGTGTAAGATCACATGGCTGGGATAGCCAAACTAAATTAGGACACAAGTCTCCCAACTTCCAGTACAAAGACAACACAAGACGAGGAGTTCTCAACTTTCCTCTAATCGTTTTCTGTTGCTGCTGTGAAAATTTTCAGTGGCTTTAAACAATACAACTTTATTACCTTGCAGTTCAGTAGGTCAGATGTCTGACCTGGGTCTTATTGGGCTAAAACCAAAGATGACACCTTGGAAGCTCCGAGAGAGAATCCATTTTCTTGCCTCTTCCAGCTTCTAGAGGCTTCGGGAATTCCTTGTCCCATGTCCCCCACCTCCGTCTTCAAAGCCAGCTGTGTTTCATCTCTCTGACTTTTCTTTCATGGTTCCATCTCCCTCCGACCACCGATGAGAATGTAGGTCTCCATTTCTTTTTTTTTTTTTTTTGAGTTGGGGTCTCACTCTGTCACCCAGACTGGAGTGCACTGGCCACTCCTGGCCACTGCAGCCTTGACCCGCGGGGCTCCAGTAATTCTTCCACCTCAGCCTTCCAAGTAACTGGAACTACAGGTGTGCGCTACCACGCCCGGCTAATTTTTTATTTTATTGTAGAGATGAGGTCTCGCCAAGTTGCCCAGGCAGGTCTCCAACCCGCGGGTTCAGGCAATCCACTCACCTCAGCCTCCCTGGGATTACAGACTGAGCCCGGCTGGGTCTCCATTTCTTAGGATCCATGGGAATGGATTGGTCCCACCCAGATAATCTGAGATAAACTCCTCCCACTACCCCCCCAAGTTCTTAAGCGCATCAGCGAACACACTTTTTCCCTGTAAAGGAAGTGATCACAGGTTCTAGGGATCAAGCCCTGGAATCTTTGGGGGTGTGGTGCATTATTCGGCCTATCACACCCAGTGTGCATCCAAGCCACAGAGAGAACATGGGACAATGCCGGTCCCTAGACTTTTAGAGATGCAAATTCAACGGGTCCTGGGTGGACCCAGGAATAAGAACTCTAACTCATTTTGATGATGGCTATCTGACTATAAGATCCCCGAACAGGTTACACGCTGTGATCGATGGCTGCCTTCTCTGTGACCCACAGGTTCCGTGTGCTCCTCACATTCTCTGGTTATCTCACCCTCTATCAGACATTAGTGATTCTGAGTGGAGAGCTGATGAAAACAAGATGTTAGCTATGCCGTAAGCAAAGCTTCTATATAACTGTGAACTGAACTTTTCAACATGGCAGCAACAATGATCTAGCAAAAGCAATATGCTTCAGCTTCCCAAGACTGAGGGTATGCAACTGGTGAAGCCTCCTTGGCCAAGATCACAGCAAAGATAAGACTGTCACAAGTATCCCTCCAGCTCAAGGGTTGCCACACACTGTCCCCAGGCAATACCCAATCTGCTGTGTTTTGCGACTTTCTAGTCTCTGAACATCAGTCCCGATTGTCCAGGGAACGCCATTGCTATCCTTGTCTGCCAAGAGCATAGCCTGAGTGTCCACAGGGCAAAGGACACAGTGGTCAGGGAGCCAGAATAGTGGTGTGACCCACAGGGGCTGTGGTCTTGAGTTCTGTTCGACTCCATTCCTGGCTCCGACTCTTCACAACAGAACTGGGTGCTAGAGGCAGACTGACTTTCTTAGAGTTCCATGCATTTTGCCTGGTTCCACTTCCCCATCTGTTCCCTTCATTTTGGCCCTCAAGCATTTGGTAAGACCCACCAGTCCAAGGTCAGCTCTATCTTCATCATGGGAGAGTTTTTTCTACTGTGTCTTAGTTTTTCGGCCCCACTTCTACTGTTTTCCAGGTGCTGCAATATTCCACAGATTGGGTGCCTCTTCCATGATTTTCCACTTTCTTTGGATATTTTTCATATTTGTCATTGTCTCCTCTATATTTTGGGTAATTTCTCATAGTTTTCTCTGCATTGTTTCAATTTCTACACTGTCGATTTATTGCCTCCAATGACAATCTTGTTTCTATCATTCCACTGTAAAAAATTATCTTCCCCTTTATACTTATGAAAACTAGACATTATAAAAATGTAAAAAACACAGGAACTATTTTGGGTATACTTCCCCCAGTGTAACTTCAACATCTGCATGTGAATATAAGTATATATAAGCAGCATTGAGATGATGCCATACATACAGATTTCCTGCACGGTACTTTACCATTTTATTGTGAGAAATTTTATTCCCCATTGTTTAAACATTCTTTAAGAAAATTATTAGTATGTGATCTTCTATGATGTGTCAATTTATGTAAATGATACACCTAAGATATTTATGTTATAGCCAATTTTTCACTTTCTATGACATACATAATACCCAGTTATTAGCTCACAGTTCTAGAGGTCAGAAATCTGGCATGGGTTGACTGTCTTCTCAGCTGAGGAAATCATGAACTGAAGTCATGATATTGGCCAGTCTGAGTTCTCACTGAGAGGAAATCTGCCTTGAAGTTCACTCTCCTTGTTAGCAGAATTCAGCTCAGTGCAGTTTGAGGACTGAGCCCCCATTTTCTTTCTGTGTATCAGCAGGGTCTACACTTAGTTCCTAGAGGTTCCTGCATTCTTTCCACGTGGTCCTCTCTAACTTTCAGTCAGCAGTAGTATGTCAGATTCTCCTAGGGCTTTGAATCTCTCCTGACTTTTCACTATATAAATAACATTTCTTTAGGATAAAGTATAACAATCTTCCAAAATGAACAGCTTCTTCCTGGGGCCCTCCTGGCTGTGTCTATATTCAGCACTCATGCTCTACTCTAGATCGAAATGGAACAAAAAATGGAGCATTTCTAGGACACTGGATCTTACAATGAGAACAATTTCATATTCAGTTCTTTCAGCAGTCCAAGCTGGTGATGACTCTAATCTGATATTTCCCAAAGAATCTTATGAATATTTTGTAATCTGAGGTATGTCTATTATAATAATAACTACTTTTTATTGAGTACCTGCTATGAACTTGGCTATGTTTCAGCCTATATCTTGTGCTTTTTGTTATCATGTTCACCCTCAAAATAGATATGAGGATTAACTGCATTTTTTTATTTTTTTAAATTTGAAAGATGTGGGGTACAATTCAGGGTTAGATATACAAATGTTCATTATGCAGGTATCCTTGTTGATGGGGTGTGCCCCTCCCTCCCCTGGCAGTTTCCCTCAACTATCAATCCTACCCCCCTCCCTGGCAGTTTCCCCCTACTGCCAATCCCTTTCTTATAGTATTATGATAATTGTTCAAGGTCCGCTTATGAGTGAGAACATAACTACATTATTAACAATCTTTCTGGTGAAGAAATTGAGGCCCAGAAAGTTAGGATAGCGGCATGTTCAGAGGCAAAAGCTAATTAGAGACAAGCCTAGAACTAAAGAGAACTAGAGCACACAACCAGAGTATTATACCAGCTCATTTCCGACCGTTTGTTTGGGTTAGTGTCCAGAGGTATGCATGCTACACGGGTTAATTTTCTTTCCAATAATGACAACCCCATTTCTGAGAGACAATGGAAGTCCTAGCATTTGGTTAGAAATAATTCTGGCATTTCAGCACAGGCTTCAACACAATCTCCCTTTGAGCCCCTTTCTGGGTGAAAGCAAGCACAGGGGTCTGCTTGGAGTCAGCCGGAAGCTTGCCCTTCCCAGCTGACAAGGGTGATTGTCTGTAATTGACGAGGCCCCAAAGAGCACCTGAGCCTGGTGACAGCCCGTGAGCCAGCCTGCCTTATCGATCTCCTCAGAGCTGTAATCACAGCTGTAGGGCATCAGTGCAGGATGGGTGTCTGAGTCAAACGGCAATCTTCATTGTGAGGCTGTACAAACATGGGCTGTGAAAATGGTCTCTTAATTGGGTTTAAATGCTCTTGCGGAAGGAAAGCCAGCTTCTCGCTGCGTGTGGATGACACGTGAAGAAAGATGAAAGGACACTTCTGCGCATGCATCAGCAGCCCAGGGCATCAGATCTCACTAGCCTCCCCTTCTGCCGCTGGAGTGGCCTTGCTATGGCAACCTCTGTCTGCTGCCCATGACTCACACAAAGCCACTGTTCCTGCTCTCTATCACAACATCACCCTCCCCGCTCCTCCCTCAGTGAAGACCCACAGCCAACAAAAGGCAGAAGGGTCCATTTGACTTCATACTCAAGTGTACCAGAGTAGGGATCCCCAATCCTTGGGCCACAGACCAGTACCCGTCTGTGGCCCGTTAGGACCTGGGCAACACAGCAAGTAAGTGGCAGGTGAGCAGAGCTCCGTCTGCTGTCACATTAGCAGCGGCATTAGAGTCCTATGGGGCGAGAATCCCACTGTGAACTGTACATGTAAGGGATCTAGGTTGTATGCTCCTTATGAGAATTTTTTTTTTTTTTGAGTCGGAGTCTCTGTTGCCCAGGCTGGAGTGCAGCGACATGCTCATGGCCACCCTGGTGTTGACGTGCTGGGCTCCGGTGATCCTTCTGCTTCAGCTTTCCAAGTAGCTGGAACTCCAGGTGTGTGCTACCATACCTGGGCAATTTATTTTTATTTATTTATTTTTTTTTTATTGTAGAGACACGGTCTCACCAAGTTGCCCAGGTGGGTCTTGAACCCATGGGCTCAAGCAATCCACTCACCTCGGCCTCCCAAAGTGCTGAAATTACAGGCTGAGCCACCAAGCCTGCCCCCTTATGAGAATTTAATGCCTGATGATCCTCATCCTCCCAGCCACGCCGTCTGTGGAAAAATTGTCTTCCATGAAACCGATTCCTGATGCCAAAAAGGTTGGGGACTGCCTGGGAGCTGTGGCATTCTGGACACCCTACTGTCAATTTACTTCCTTGGACTTGTTAAGAATTACTTTCTGTTCACTTAAGGAAGGGAATTTTCTTTTAGGACATGGACAGAGCCCAAAGAAAAACCCTCAATGAATTGACATGGTGATTCAAAGCATTTCATTAGAACATGATTCAGAGGATGAACATTTGTGATCCAAGACTTCAAAGTGAGGTTAGAGTTTAGATGGAGAAGCTGCAGTCTCACCTGAGTGCTACGAAGGAGAATGGAGTTGTGCCTTCCAGTAGGCGTTTTGTGCAACATTTCCAGTGAGAATGGATGTACCCATGACACACAAAATGCGTGTGGGGGTTGGGAATACAGAAGAAAATACACCATGCAGGAACAGGGTCGGGGTGTATGGGAAAAGTGTAAAATGCAGTGCCTGCCCTCGGGGGGATTGAATTTGGGATGGCTGACTTAACTCTGCCAGCCAAGTTTCTTTCTTTCTTTTTTTTCCGAAGTGGTGATGCCATTTTATACTTGACCAAGCAACATGTGGACATTTTACTTGCTCCACATTGTCTTCAAATTTGGCCTTGTCAATGGCTTTGATTTTAATCATGGTTGTAGGTGGGAAATTATTTTTTCAATTTTCACTTTCTTTTTCCCCCCTTAACTAGAGATGGGGTCTTGCTATGTTGCTCAGGCTTGTCTCAAACTTCTGGCCTCTGGTGATCCTCTTGCCTCAGCCTCCCTAGTAGCTGGGGTTACAGGCAAAAGCCACCATGCCTGCCGGCTCATAACAATACAGCCTGGAGGAAAGGAGTTTCCCCTTTTTAGATGCTACATTAAGAGGACTGTTTATCTATATATCTGAACTCATGCACAGTACCACGGAAACACGAATAAATGTAATTATCTTTTGATGTTAACTACCTCCCCAGAGGATTTGAGCTAGCTCTAAAAAACACATAGAAGTAGTGGAAATGTAAAATCAAAGTGAGAAATCTGGATCAATGAAGAGAAGATAAAATTTTACTGAGAGAGGTGAGCATTTCTACTTAATTAACTTACATATTACTTTGTAAAACTCTGTAGTCTTATAAACCTCTTTTATAGTCAACAAGAAGCTGCCTTCTTTTATTTGTCCTTTCTAATGTTAATGCTGGTCAGTGGGTGGCTTTCTTCAAGGATTTCCATAAAAAGAAATATGCCCAGGGCACCTGCCCTTCCTTGGCCCACAATACCTTGGAAAGAGCTGATGTAGGTGTGCTTCTAACGGTGCCTCTCCCTGGCTGCTGATTTGGGCACATTTGAGCAGCTCTTTGCTACTTTGCTTAAGTAAGTTGTTGGCATTCATTTGCTAGGGCTACCATACCAAATACAAGAGGGGGGGTGGATTAAACAGCTGAAATTTATTTTGCTGAGACCATTCTCTTTGGCTTGCAGATGGCTGCCGTTTCCTTGAGTTCTTACACGGTCTTCCCTCCATGAGTGCACATGTTGGGTGTTTCAGATCCCTTTTCTTATCAGGATTCCAGTCAGAACAGATTAGGGCCCAGCCATGTGACCTCACTTTATCTTAATCACCTCTTTAAAGACTCCAATACAGTCACATTCTGAAGTTCTCGAAGGTTAAGGATTCACCATGTGAATTTGAGGGGGGACACCATTCAGCCAATAACATTAGGGATTACAAGAAATCCTATAAGGCATGTCAAGGAAAATGCACCCCCGTTTTATAAACAAATACAAATCACTCTAAGTGGATATGAACACAGAGCTGGGCTTGGATGCCAGGGGCCCGGGCCATTCTCCTCCTCTGATGGAGCTAGGAATAGTTCTCCTGGACCAGACCATGAGAAGTCCACAGGACGACACCCGGAAAGCTGCTCTCACAATACCTGATGTGCACAAATGCTCAGAAATGTTAGCCATTACTCTTATAGAAGGTAGACCCTGCAATGTCAAACTAGTACTGAGAGCTAAAGTGGCCGTCTCAGGTGTTCACAGGTATTAGTTTTTTCTTGTTTGCCATTTCAGAAGCATATTTTAAGAAAAAATATGAACATAAAATAATGTATCCCAACAGTTTAGATACAGATTCCTTTGCTATGCTTTGAATTTCCTTTGAACCTTTCTCTTGGATTTAGGGAAGTGCCAGTGAAGCTACCCTTGTGGCCCTGCTGGCCGCTCGAACCAAAGTGACCAGTCGGCTGCAGGCAGCCTCCCCAGAGCTGACGCAGGCCAGCATCATGGAGAAGCTGGTAGCCTACTCATCCGATCAGGTGAGTGTGTAGGGGAGTGTTAGTCACAAGTCCTGCCAAAACTTTCAGATCTAGATGTTTCATTTTATGTCAACTCTAAACAAAACAAACACATACAGCATTCTTTCCAATCTAATAATAGTTCCTTTGGTATCACTAAGATAGAGACCTGAGCTAAAGGGAGGAGTGAATTCCCAGGTGGGAACAGGGTAGCACAAGATGAAAAGAAAATAAACGTGCTGGCGATCACCATGACCAGCAGCGGTTCGTGTTGGGATGATCTGGCCTGCTTCAAAAGTGGCATTATGGACTGGTTGGATGTGGGCATCCAAGATCTGGGCTCCTGTTCCAGCTCTGCTATTCTAAGTTTTGTGACCTCAGGCCCTTGGCCAGGTCAAGCAAGAGACAGTGATGGTGAAGGCTGCTGGGCAGAAGGCGATGGCTTTAATGAGAGCTGCCCTTCCTGAGAGTTGCTGAGGGAGGATGGGTCTGCCAGCAGTACCTCATTGTTGGTTTTTATTTCCCAGACATGATTTGCTGAGCTTGGCCACCAGGCTGTCCAAGGCCCCACAGTGAGAAGCCAAATTTGAGCTTGGGCTATCTAGGGTACCCCTGGGATATACTTTCTCTTGCTCTTGAATTCAAACGAATGGATGAAAAACGTCACCAATATTGACCCTGGACTCTACCCTTATTTGTGCCTGATCCATTAAACTTAAAAGCAAGATTCCACAAGAATAGAAACAACTCTGGGGGAAAGAGCATCTTCGTGAATGTATAGGGAGAAAGAGGCAAGAGCAGCTCTGCCCACGTTGTGAGGGAAGCCTGTCTGAAGTTCTGGCTGCTTTCTGCAGATCCAAGGGCTTGTCACGACTATATGCACACATTACACAAACCTACCTCTGCTGCCTTCTTTCCAGGCACACTCCTCAGTGGAAAGAGCTGGATTAATTGGTGGAGTGAAACTGAAATCCATCCCGTCCGATGGCAACTTTGCCATGCGTGCTTCCGCCCTGCAGGAGGCCCTGGAGCGAGACAAGGCGGCCGGCCTCATTCCGTTCTTCGTAAGTTCAGCAGCATTTGCTGTATATGGCACCATGAGAGTCTTTGAGCCCTGCTTGGGCCTGGGGTAGGGCCTAGGGGATGCCAGAGCCACTTGGTCGGCTGCTGTGATGGTCACAGGCCAGGTGGTACTTATATTGTCTCCTCGAAGAAAGCTGGAGAAAGACTCCATCATCTCAGCTTAGAAAAAGCCAGAATACTCCCGCCTGGTGGATTCTGCTGCCATTTGTGGCATGCTAAGTGTGCTATGTGATGAGGAATGTGGGATGAGTGAAGTGAATTAAAAATAAAAATAACCGGCTTTGCTGCCTGCATCAGTTGTTCTCAGCAGAGAGTAAGGCCCATCATTTGTGAGAGGTGTATTGCAAGCAAACAGTGGCTACTCCTAAGTAAAATGTTGAACTGGCCAAATAGCTTGCTGGTTCTCTTGTGCACAAATATGCATTTTCCAGTTGGGAAGAAAGCATGGGCATTGCAGCGAGAGTGTGGGAATTGTCATAACTCCGATTTGCCTGTGGCAGTATGCTGTGCCTGTGTCTGAGGTTTCATGTGTGACAGCAGTGGGAACGCCGTGATCATGGCACCAGCCCCTGGTGTTCAACCTGGCTGCACATTAGAGGTACCTGGTGAGCTTTTAAAAAATACTGATGCCCAGGCCTTCCTCCTGATTAATTTTGCCAGAACCTCGGGGGACAGAGCCAGGTATCAGAAACATTTCACAGCAACTTCAAGATTATTTTGTACACCCTGGATTGAGAGAGAAACAAGCTCAGCCAGACATTCTTCACTATCTGGACGTTTCTTAATTGTTAAAGCAATCTGGGTTGGATAGACTTTGTATGGGCCACATATTGATAACATCCATTGCCTTTTATTTAAGAGTGGATCTTTAAGAAAAGCTTTTTCCTCCTTTTTTTTTTTTTTTTTTTTTTTGTCAATTCAAGTTAATGCCATCTACTGAATAACTAACGTGACTGAGGAAGTCATAGAAAGTGTGATGGTACATAAAATTTTATTCTAATTCAGGGAGTTCACAGGAGAATCAGGAACATAAGCAAATCATTATAATAGAGAAGGACTGATAAGGCTTAGAGGTAGTAGAGATGATGGTCAAGACATTTTGAAGGATGATAAAGCGTCTACCAGTGAATCATGGCATATCTGCCATCTGACCCCAATGTCTTTCTTAGCCCTCCTGTTCTGCTTTATTCTTCTCCACTGCATGTATCATCCCCTCCCCCAGTATTTATTCGTTTACTTCTTCCTTCTTCCCATCAGTAAGTACATGGAGGGAGGGTCTGTTCACATCACTGCTTTATCCCCAGATCCTGAAATAGTACCTGGCACTTAGCAGAAGCCCAGGGAATATTTGCCAAATAATTAAAAATTTGAAGGAAAATAATTCTGGGTAAAAAGAAAGATCACCCATAACATTTGCACATACAATTTCAGCGCACTTTGAAAGGATGCTATTTAGAGGAAGTACATTTTTTGAACCCGTAGTGTCAATATGAAGACTCACTAGAATATCATGTCTAGGGAAAAATAAATATATAGAAACACACTCTTTTAGGTTTGAGAATGAAAACAATGGAGGAAACAGCACATGGCTTGATGAAAAGATGTATTTTATAGCAATTTAAAAACTCTTAAATAAAATGCAAAGACCAATGCTGGCAAGAACTATTTACAGCATTTCTTATAAAGTAAGTATTACAATAAAGAGAAGGCTTATATGCCAATAAGCAAAAAGGTAACATTACAGTGGGAAAATGCACAAAATATATGAAGTCAGTTCCAAATACATCACAAAAAGCCAATAAGAACACAGAATCAATTCTTATCCTTTAATAACCAAAACAATGCAAGTTGGTTATTGAGAGAGGTGTGTTAAAATCTCACTATGGGAGTGTTGGCTCTGCTAGCTACTGGATCATGCGAAATGGCGGACGTGGGGAGATATTGAAGTGCCTTCGAGCAAGAAGGGAGTGCAGGGAATTGTCATGGTGAACACAGAAGGCATTCCCATCAAGAGCACCAGGGACAATCCTACCACCACACAGAGCACCAACCTCAAGTACAGTTTCATCTTGAAGGCCAGGAGCTCTGTGCACAAAATTGACTCCCAGAACCACCTCAACTTCCTTTAAATTCACTCCAAGCAAAATGAAATCATGGTTGCACCCAATAAAGACTATTTTCTGATTGTGAGTCAGAATCCCCAACTGAATAAGCCACTCTCCTGACTACCCACATCATTCCTTAATTTACTGCCCCCCAGGAATATTAATGTTCATTATGTCAGCACATAGGCACGTGAAAATTGCCTTAAAGCCCACTCAAGCCAATCCTGGGACCACAGGTGGCTGGCAGCTCTATCAGCCCCAGCAAAGGACTCCCTCTGCTGCACCAATTTTCTCCAAAATTCCCAGGAAGACCATCTTTCCTCATTCTGGGTTTTGGAGCAAGAGCTTGGGAATAGCCCACACCCAGTTTCTTTCTGACCTTCAGTTCACTTTGTTGCCTTTGGAAAATGTTGTTTCTCTTTAACCAAAATGCTTTAAAAAAAAAAAAAAAAGCTGGGCTCGGTGGATCAGCCTGTAATCCCACGCCTTTGGGAGGCTAAGGTGAGTGGATTGCCTGAGCCCATGGGTTCGAGACCCGCCTGGGCAGCGACACCTCATCTCTACAATAAATCAAAAAATCAGCCGGTCGTGGTAGTGCACACCTGTAATTCAGAAGGATTGCCAGAGCCCAGCAGGTCAGGGCTGCGGTGACCGGGAGCGGCCACTGCACTCCAGTCTGGGCGACAGAGTGAGACTACAACTCAAAAAAAAAACCAAAAAACAATATGATTGTAGATATGTCTCTTTCTAATTTTATACCTATTGTATTTTGTTGAAGCATATTATCAATGATTTGTGCATGCAGATTTAGAATTGCCATGTCTTTTTGGTAAATAATCATTTGTTACTAGGAAATGCCCCACTGATCACTAGTAGGGCTTCTTGTCCTGCAGTCTACCTTGTTGGACCCAGCCATGATTATGTCTGTTTTCTATTGGTTGGTGTTTGTGTGTTATATTTTCTCCAACTTTCTATTTTAACCATCCCTGATCTCTTATTTTTAAGCTGTGTAACATGTAAGCAGCATATGATTGTTGCGCTTTTTAAAATTTGTTTTAAAATCCATTGTAATGGTTGCTATCTATTTTATTTACACATAAGGCAATCACTGATACATTTAAATGTTGTCTACCATCTTACTATCTGTTTTCTATTAGGCCCACCCCTTACATGATTGCTGTTTTCTACTTTCTTGCCTCTTTTTGGAGTCATTGTCCCATATTATTCTATTTTTTTATTTTTGCATTTTCTTATTTTCATCTGGCATCTTTTTCTTGTCTGTAAAATTCTCTTAACAGTTTTTTTGTAGTATGAATTTGATATGATGAATTATCTCAGTTTTTGTTGTTCTGAAAAGGGATTTTGTCTTAACTATTGGAAGATATTTTTGCTGGGTATAGAATTCTAGGGTGGTAGCTGTTTTCTTTTGGGACTTTGTATAATTCCACTGAGTTCTTCCTTCCATGATTTATGTTGAGATGTTAGTTTGCTTTGTTAGAGATATTGTGACAATATGACTCCTCTTCTCCCCCCAGGGCCATTTGTAGCATTTGATTCTTGTCTTTGTTTTTAGGCAGTTTTACCGTGATGCAAGTATTGTTTTCTTTGTACTTATTCTCTTTGGGTTTCACAGAACTTCTTGAATCTGTAATTTGGTGTCTCTCAAAATTATTACCTATTGTCTTCTCAAAGTTTGCTTCTCTTCATTTCTTGTCTCTTCCTGTCTGGGACTCTGATATTTTAGATCTTTCCACTGACTTTTATGCCCTTTTTCATGTATTATACCCATTAAAAAAATGTCCCTACTTTAGTCTGATCTATTTACCATTTACCAATTTTCTCTTTAGCTGTGCCCAGCTGATAAGCAAATATATCATGTGCTTAATTTTAAACATTAACAATTTTTAGCTTTTTATTTTTAAATAATTGTAGAGTCACAGAAAATCACAAAGTTAATACATTAGAGATGCTGTACTCTTCATTCAGCTTCTTCCAGTTGTTACAACTTATATAAATACATACCTATAGTACAACATCAAAGCCAGAAGATTGACATTGGTTCATTATGTGCATATAGTTCTGTGTCATTTATCACAGGTGTAGATTCAGGCAGCCACTACCTCAATGAGAATGTTGAGATACTCTATCAAAGATCTGCCTCAGTCACCCATTTATAGTCACTCTCATCCTCACTCATTCTACTCTTCTTCTATCATCCCTGACCCCTAGAAATCACTCATCTGTTTTCTATTTCCACAATCTGGTCATTTTGAGAGTCTCATTTAAATGGAATTGTACAGTATGTGACCTTTTGAGATCAGCTGTTTTTCACTCAACATAATGCCCCTGAGATCCATCTAACTTGTTGCATGTATCAATAATTTGTTCCTTTTTATTGTAGTACCACAGCAATTTATCACCAGATCATCTGTACTACAGTTTGTTTGCCCATTCACTTGTTGAAGGACATTATAGTTGTTTCCATACTTTGGTCATTATGAACAAAACATCTGTGAACATTAATTTACAAGGATTTGGGTGAACATATGTTTTCATTTCTCTGGGTGCAATTCAGGGTCTTATGGTAGTAGTGTGGATAGTTTGTTAAGAAACTGACAAGGTCTTTCCCCAAGTGACTGTAGTATTTTATACTTCCACTAGCAATACATGAGAAAATCAGGTTCTTTGCATCTTCACCAGCATTTGATATTGTCACTATTTTTTTAACTTTAGCTGTTTTGATAGATAGGTGGGAACATTTCATCATGTTCCTAATTTGTGGTTCCTTGATTATCATTAGTGAAATGATATTGAACATTTTTACATGCGCTTATTCACCATCTGTATTTTTTGCCCATTTTATAATTGAATGATGG